CCAAAGAATAATAACACATTACATATAGGTGAACAATGAATGATTCAAAGGACAACAGATTTTATATCAGAAATCACAAAAGCTTGGAAGGAAGGAGCACAACAATTTTAAAGTGCTGAAAGAAAAGAACTGTCAACACAATTCTCTATCCAGTGACAATATCCTTCAGAAATAAAGGTAAAATGAAGATACTCTCAGTTGAAGAAAAAGTAAGTGAATTTGGAAATTAAAGAGTGAATATGATTATATACCCCATAGATGTTAAAAGGATAAGAAAATACTATAACAACTCTATGCACAAGAATTCAACAACATAAATAAAGTGAATTTCTTCAAACTCACAAACTACTAAAACTCACACAAGATGAAATAGATAACCTAAAGAACCCTATATCTATTAAATAAACACATTAAATTTGTATTTTAAAACATTCCTTAAAGAAACAAAGACTTGCTTTTAAAATCCATAGAACTGTATATCAGAAGAAAAGAAGTCACATTTACTACACAATAACTTTGAGAGGAGGCCTGCATTCTTAAGCTCATGGCCTCTTCCATGTTTGAAGTCAGCAGTGGCCAGATGTCCTTCTCACAATGCTGTCACTTTGGTCCTGACTCTTCTGACTCCCTTAATTGTCCTCAATTGTATGAACAATTAAGGACACTTGTGATTACATTGGACCCACTTGACTAACCCATGACAACTCTGCTTAGGGTCATATTATTAGCAACCTTAATCCTGCCTGTCATGTAATATAACATACCACAGGCTCCAAGGATTGGCATGTGGGTAGCCTTGGGAGGGCCATCAATCTGTCTACCTCAAATGGACAAGTGAATAAACAAATTGTGCTATGTCCATACAATAGAATTCTATGCATCAATGAAAACAAACTTTGATATACACAATAAATTGGATGAATCTTAGAGACTTTATACTAAGTAAATAAAGACAATAACAAAAAGTTACATATTTTATGAGTCCATTTGTGGGGCATTATCAAGAAGGTAAAGTCATAGTGATAGAGAACAACTCAGTACATGTCAGGGGACATAGAGGGGTAAGGCTATGACAACAAGGTGACAGCACAATGTAGCTGTCACGTTTGGTAACAAACTATGTATATGTTAAAATTCATAGAACTACACATCAAAAGTAAAAAAAGCCAAGAAAAGCACACTTGGTACACATGCTCACTATAGTATCAGGTTGGCCCAAAAGTCTGTTATGTTTCTTCTGTACAATGGGTCTACGACTAGTGCTTTGTTGTATATAACTTCATTCAAAATAATTTAGGCCCTGGCTGGCATAGCTTAGTGGATTGAGCACAGGCCTGTGAACCACATGATTGTGGTTCGATTCCCAGTCAGGGCACATGCCTGGGTTGCAGGCCAGTTCCCGGCAGGGGACTCATGAGAGGCAATCACACATTGATGTTTCTCTCCTTCTATCCTTCCCTTCCTCTATAAAGATAAATAAATAAAATCTTTTAAAAAAATAATAATTTTGTTAGGGTGTGACAGCTGGTGTATCAGCATGAATTTTTTTAAAAACTTACCAAAATTGGTGAATTTTTGTACCACCACTTTGATATGAAAGGAAATATGCAACATTTTCAGTATATTTTGCTTTATTACTTCACAGAAGGTAAAAATGCAAACAAAACACAAAAAGAGATTTGTGCAGGTGTGTGGAGAAGGTGCTGTGACTGATCACATGTGTCAAAAATGGTTTAGGAAGTTTCTGGGTACTATTGACATTGTGGCCAAACAATTCTTTGCTGTGGGGCTGTCTTACGGATTGGAAGATGTTTAGCAGCACCCCTGGCCTCTACCTGCTAAAAGCTAATAGCAGGAGATAGCCGACATACTCAAAATATCCAAATCAATAAAGTTATTGGTGAAAATGAAAAATGAAAAATGTGCCTTTTTATGGGAAAAACAACAAACAAACCTATGATGGATGTTTTGGCCACCCCAATAATTAATGCTATGAAGGGAAAGAAAAACTGGCCAAAGATGTCACACCACCAGACTCTGGCACTTTGGTGGTGAGTTCACAATAGCTTCTATAGTTTTCACCAAAGCTTCCCTAAAACACTGAGTCTATTTGAGCCTGTATTTTCTAACCTCAAAATAAAAATAATATTAACCTTATTAGGCCATTAATAAGATTAAATTAAAATGTGTATGTAAATACCCTGACATGAAAGGGTACTCAATGATGTTAACTGCTTTGTTTTTGCCAGCCCGTAGGGGTGTGTGAACTGTCCTGACTCCTTTCTCCCAAACTCTGAGAAGCTTTAGAACTTGGAATAACCCAGCGTGGTGAGTGGAGAGACACGTGTTCACAGGAGAGAAGGGTAGGATCTCACAGTATGACAAGGATATCCCTGAAGTGTGACAGCTGCCAACAAATACCTTATGTAAGGCCTATCTGTAAAACATATTTCATTCTCATTTTCTAATATAAGTACAATCAAAGGTTTTCATCATCGACATCTATCCAGATATCCTCCATGTCTTCTTCCAGTCACCCCCACCAGCTTCCCATTGCTGCATCTCCCCCATGGACCTCCCAAGTCTCCGAGGTGGACTGGAAGAGAATGGTCATCCATGCCTTTATTCTCTTGTTCACACAGCATTCATTGGATATCTCTGATTGCCAAGCACTGCGCTCCACCTCAGGGACACACATATGGACCAGTTTCTCTCCCTGAACGGGAGGCATTCACAGTCTAAGTGTTAAAGGTCACAGAACATGAGGTTGGTGGAGGAACATACCAATTGTACCACTTTGGATGTTAAAACACAAGAGTTTTCTTTTTATAATTTCTTATTGTATTTTTTCCATTATCATTCAACCCTCTTAAATAAAACACGAGAGGCACTTCTGCTTCTTGGAAGGAAGTACCAGAGGGGGGGATGGGGATGTATTCCAGAAAGTCATAATGACAGGGATGTGCAGGGAGTCTTTCAGAGTAAAAAATGTGATTATATACTTAACAAAAATAATATAACCCCTTATAGTCATATGTTGGAAAAGGTTAGCTGAGACTAAGACAAAGCAATGCTGTGGGTTGCCATGGCAGCCTTTACTGAGGTTCTGTGCTTGGGCACTGGGGCTGCAGATGGTCCTGTCTTTTAGTCTCAGAGTAAGAATCCATTCCTTTCCCCTTAAAATATCTAATTCCTGGTTTCTGGGCCTTCAAATTCATTAAACACACAAATGCATCAAATCAGTTAAGAAATATTTAAAGATATTGTTTAAGATTATCCACTAACCACTGCTAAGCAGCTAACAGCAATCCATTCCAAATATTTATTGAGGGCCTCCGTGGCAGAGCCCTGTGGTAGAATCAGAATGTTTCATTCCCAGTTCTCTCCCTTCGGCACTTTGCATCCCTGGAAAGGAGAACGGGAGAGCCACAATGGGGCCGTGAGTGCTGCCACTGGTTAAAAAGCCAGCTGTGACATATCAGAGGAGGGCCTGGTCACGACTGGCTGGGGAAAATAAGAAATAATTTCATGAAGGTGATAAACGTAAAGATATGGAGGAGAGAAAGACAAGGAGAAAAGGCACATTTGGAAAGATTCGAGAACAAGGCTGGCTCCACCTCACAAAGCCAGGAGAGGAATGGGTTTCACTGGAGGGGACATGGATGGTCCGATAGCACAACAAGAATGGTAATACTGACCAATGGCCACTGGATTTGGACTTTAGTGACCTGTTTAACAAAAGGTCCAGGTGGGGAGATGGGGTGGGGGAGCTGGGATGGGAGAAATAGACAAAAAACTGTACTTGAAAAATAACTAAAAAATTTTAAAAAAAAAGTCCACCTTCAACAGAGAAGTGGAAATAAAAAAAAAACAGTTGTAAACCAACCTCAGAATTATGAAGACATATTTGACAACTGGAGAGAGTCAATTCTATTGGTAGGCAGAAGGAAAGGATTTGGAGTCCAGAGAAAGAAATGATAGTAATTAAACCAGAGGAAGCAGACCAGGCTAGAATCACAAAGTTCAGAGAAAGGCCCTGAGAAAAAACAGGTCACCTTCCTCCTTCTGTTAGTGTCTCTTTTTGGACCTGGTTCATTTCCTTTGTGGCTCTTGTTGTAATTTATAATTATCCTCGCTTGTATATTCACATATGTGTTTGCTAGTTTGCCTGTTTATTATCAGCTTCCCCTGAATGCGCCCTGAGGGCAGGATTATAGACTGCAGTGTATATAAAAGGTTCTCAGAAAATCATCTGTAAATGAAATAAAAAATGAAGTAAGAAGGAACAAGTGCAGGTACAGAAAGATGAAGTGGAGAGAGGAGCCTGAGAGAGTGTCGAACTCCTTGACCTCCAGTGAAGAGGGGCAGGACCACCGCTGAGAGTGAAAAGGGTCAGAGGGGGGTTGGTGGTGAGGAAAGTGGGAGGTGAATAGTCAGGAGTGAGGAAGAGCAGGTGAAAAACTGGATGGTGTGACTGGGGACTGGACCAGAGAGAAAGGATCTGTGCCTTTCTCCAAAAATTCTGGGCCATCCCAGCAAAGGAGAGACAAAAGCAGCTGGGGGTTGCTGACGGCTGGAACCAGCAAGGCAGGTACAGCAGGACAAAGTGGTCTCCAACTCGGTGGCCAGTCAACACTCCCATTCCTGACTTACGAGGGCAGGACAGCGATTTTTGACCTCTTCATCTCACGGCACACATAAACTAATGACTAAAATTCTGCAACATACCAAAACCCATATATTTTTGCCAATCTAAACCAAAAAATATAGGTATAATTTTGATTCATTCACACTGGATGGCTAATGCTGTGTTGGCTGTTGTCATTTTTTTTTCATTTGACAGTCTAAGGGAAAAGAGGTCAGTGCCCCTGACTAAATAGTCAGGTACTGCACATTTTAAAAATTATTGTGGCCCACCAGTGTGCCACAATATGCTAGCTGAAAATCACTGGGTTAGAAGAGAACCAACTCATTTAAAAAGGATATTCAGCCATGCCTACCTTGCAATGTCTTCTTCCTCAAAGGTAGAGGTCACAGCTTGATAGAAGAACTATCCTTGAGGATCAGAATCTGAGTGGTCACTTCAAATCCTTAGAATTTCTGGAACAGGATGAAGGCAAAGAGGCAGTTGGTGGGGGAACCAAAGGTGGCATTTGTTAACTAATGGCAAAATAAAATCTGAGGCACGTCATCAGCTCCCAATTTCTGGAGCTTCCCCATGGCAGTTGCTCTCAAACCTTGGCATCGATCAGAATCACCTGGGGTGCTTGTAAAACAGGTCGCTGGGCCCACCCCTAGAGTTTCTAATTCAATAGTTCAGGAGCAGGACCCAAGAATCTGCATTTCTAACAAGTTCCCAGGTGATGCTGATGTCGTTTGTCTGGGGACCACTCAGAGAACCACCTTCTAAGGCAAAGGGCTGCCTCTTTATGCTTCCATATACCACTTTGCTCCTGACTTTTTGTAATAACAGAATCATTTATTTAGTGACTACTAGTTCCAGGCAATATTCTACTTCCTACAACAGAGCCTGATCCAGACTAGACATTCAGTAAATATTTGTTGAATAAATAGTGAACAAAACCCATACACAATCCCTGCCTTCATGGAGCTCACAGACTGGTGGCAGAGTCTTTGTTAATATCATAATCTCATAAATAAATATATAACAACAAAGGGTGACACATGCTGGGAAAACACCTTCTGGTGTGCTGTCCGAGTCCTATTAACTAGGGAATTGAAAAAGCCTGGGGAGGCAGGGGTGCATGCAGCAAATGGAATCACAATTGATCTAAAACGATTTCACCAGGATGTGACTGCTTGTGGGCGTTTTGGGCGTGGGGCTCCATAGTCTGACACACCAGCCTTCCCTCTAAATTTCACGGCACCCACCACCGCACAACTGGGCAAACAGTAAGTGCTCTACAATTGTTAACTGGCTGATGATACACCAGTGTACTGATGATTCACTCAGCAGGCAGCTAACTGGTTCTGAGACAGCCAGCGAAACAGTTTGGGCTACAAGCTTCTCATCTGTAAAATAAGGGAGGTGGTTTCTATCACTATTCCTGGACTGGGGTTCAAGCCCCAGTTCCAACTGTGCCCTGGAACCCTATGGGGTGCTCTGAAGTAAGGCCTGGGTCCCAGTCCCAGAGATGCTGATTTAACAGGTGTGGCGTGCAGCCTGGAAATTGCCATCTTTAAAAACTCCCCTAAGTGATTCTAATGTGTAATCCAGGCGGAGAGTCAGCAGGTTTAAAGGGGTTCTAAGTGATTCCTATAATTGGTTGCAGTAGCTAAGTTCTATGATATCATGAGTTAAAACCCCAATATCAGAAGTCTTCATTCTTAGTTGCTAAATATAATTCAATTTTTGCTAAGACGGGTTTCATTTTGAATGAGCCTCTCAGAATGAAGCTATGTTTCAATATAATTATAGTTTCTCTCTCTTGGGTTTTTAAGAAAATGCTCAGAATTGTATTCAACTTGAACTCTAACTGAAACATAACATAAACAAGATCTTGGTAAAAGCTCCTTCCTTTCCAGATGCTGCAGGTCTCGCTGATGGCACCTGTTACCATTTTGTTCAGGAGTTCAAAGTGGCTCCAAGCTGAAGCCAGACAGTGACTGAAGAGGTGCTATTTACTATGAAAATCCTGTCCACGTGACTTTTTAGATTCAATGAAAAAGACCCCTGTTTTGAAATATTTGTGACTTTGTTTTAAACATAAGTGTATTCAATAAGTTTTTCCCCATCTTGACTTGGTTAATGAGTCTAAGGCTTATAATTTAAGATTGGTTTATTTGCTGCCAGTTACATTGATCCACAGGGGAAACATCAGCAACACTGTCTGGATCCTAGTGACCTTGCCCAACATCTCTGTCAACTCCTACCATTTTACGACACTTCATCTCTGAGAGCTCTCCTACCATCCAGGAGAGTGCTGGCAAGTATTTACCAACCCGTTCTTGGGCCTAGGGATGAGGAACCCTGATTGTAGTGTTTGGCTTTTTCTGTGGTGTAAATACTCCCAACCCAGCCTGTTTTAACCTCTGAGCATGTCCCTGAACAGACTTTAGAAGAGATATACATTATAGGTTTTCATGACCTCTGCGCCCGCCTCTGAGGCCCTCCCTAGGCAGAAGAATACAATCTGGTTGTTTGTTATTTGGTGTCAAGTAGTTCATTCTTCCATCTCTTTCTTCTAAACCCACCTTCCCACCCTCTGTCTCCATCAATACTTAAACATCCATCTGTTCCCTCAAGGTCTTTCCACTCATTTCAAATAAGGAGGCTCTGAAGACACTAAAGGTGAATTTAAATGTTTTGCAGACTAGATTTCTACATTTGCTACCACCAATTGCATGCTTAAGCAGGTCACTTAACTTCTCAGAGCCTCAGCTCTTCCTTACTAAAACAGGCATGACAATACTCACCTTTCACAGTTGTTAAGCAAGGAAGATGCATGATAAGCAGTGCTTCTTGGTCTTGAGTGTGCATCAGAATCACCTGGAGAGCTTGTTAAAACACGGGCTGCTGACCCCCGATACACGCACACTGAGTTTCTTATTCAGAAGGTCTGAGGGTCTGCATTTCCAAGAAGCTCCCAGGTGATCCTGAGGCTGCCTTCTGGAAACCACACTTTGAGTGGCACGGTGATAAAGCACCCTGTGAATTTTTAAATGCCATGTAAACATGAAGAGTTTTTCAAAGAGGAGGACCATGGCTTAATGTCTCATCTGTCTTGGCCCTGGGGGATGCATGCATGTATATGGTTCTTCAGGAAGATACAATACTGTAGTGGCTTTGGTAAAAGAATGAATTCTGTGCATTTCATTCTTTTCTGTGCATTTTCATTAAACCCACAGAGGGTTTAATGGGTTACACACTGAGATTCAGGGATGCTGAAAAGGCACCATGTGGCTCAGAATTCCTTCCCCTGAAGAATTCCTGGGTCCCTGGAAAGTGAGAATCACATGTTACCTGTCCATGGGATGTTACAAGACCACAGGCCTGGCCCTCCTCCAGTGCCTCCCTGTTCAGGGCATGGCTTCATCACCCAACTCATTTCCAGGCCAGAATCAAGTCTTGTTCATTTTACCATCAAACTATCTTTTGATTCCATTCTCTTCTGCCCATTGCGCCACCACTGTCACCACCGAGAACAAGCTACTATCTTCTCTCTGCTCAGTTGCTACGGTGGCTTCCTAGCTTACCCATTTGCACTTTACTCTGTCCCTCTTTAAAGCACACTTTACTCTGTAGGAAGAGTGATGGTCTTAAAGAGCAAGGGATCACGTCTCCACCATCCACAATGACTGCTCTCTTGATCTCAAGGAAAAAACAAGACTTCTGAATGTGGCCTGGAGGACTCTTTGTGAGCTGGCCCCTCTAAATCCCTCTAGCCTCACTTCAAACAATTCCAGACACACAATAGTCAAGGGAAAACCTAGAGGGAGATTCAAGGAAAAAAAAAAGTTCCTTGCAAAGTTTGCAAACAGTCCAATCTTCAGAAGAATGGGATACCCTAAATAAAGGATCAAGTGGGTATTTAAAGAAAAATACTGTAAAGTTACAATCAGTCTGATTGCTATTTTCATTGCTCAAAAACAATTCTTCACTTGATTATTATATCTGCAAGGATTATTATATATTTGAAAACATCAAAGTGATGAACAAGATGAAATTGTTTTTAACTTTCAGGAAAGGACTCAAGGTTTTATCTTGAAGACTAGGATTTTCGACAGCATATTTCTGATTTTTTTTGTGGTCATCTGATGATGCAAAGCCACTTTTGTCTCCCCTCTGATGTCATGTGCAATGTGCACCCTTAGTTACAAATGAGTTTAGGGCTTCCAACATTGTTCCCATTTGACAGATGATGAAATCAAGGCTCAAAAACATACGTTGCCAGAGCCTACATGCACAAGCAGAGGAATGGAAGCTCAGTCCCTCCCAGCGGGGTCACAGTGCCCTCTGGTTCTAAGAGCCTAATGAATCCTTCCCAGTGGAGGGTCAGGTGCACTGCAAACTCATATAAAACATTTCAGGAGGGGAGGGGGATGAAAGGAAGAGATGATCTTTCACGAGCTGTCCTCAAGCATCTGGTTTGGAAAATGTCAAATCAGATAGTCCCCAGACCTTGAAAAGGGCAGAGATTATGAACTCTGTATTTGCATAACTGACACAAAACTCCTAGATATCTTTGTTCTTGTTCTCACTGCTTAGTGATAAGCAGACATCAAAGTAGACTGACAATATTGCTGTGTATTTAAAGCTTTAAGTTTGAGGAGCCGGCTCCTGTTTGACTTCACGCAATAAAATGTTCATTGAACTTCACAGTTGAAAAAAAGTAAGAATACCTTATTTGCATAATGGCAAATGTGTCAGGTCTTCAATAAATCTTTGATGTCAAGACTCAGTGTGGAGCTCCATGGTTATAGTGGCTGGAACATTTGAAGCAGCATTTTCTCCAAGCTTCCTTTGAAAGTATCAATTCTGGATTTAATCCTATGGGCTCCTCTATACTCATAGTATGTGATTTGATAGGAGAAGCACAGCTTGCCCTAGTTTTGGCTTGAACAGTGTCTCAAAAACTCTAGTCTTTGCAATTTATATTCACCTGCAAAGCAAATGACATACACTTATGCTTAATTACCTCCTTATGTTGGCCAGAATTTAGTGCCTAAGTTGATTAGAAAGAAATGGCTCTGAGCTCATTCCACTTCAAGAAATTCTCTCCAGCTTCATTCCTAGTATCTCCCTGCTGACTCTGCATCCCTGTGGGTTTGTGGAGGGAGGGGAAAGTGAAAGAGAAGAGCATCATTTTGGATGAGTGGAGCTAGGTAGAGTGCTCCAAACAATTGTTCCAACCCGAGGTCTCCTGGACAAGAAAATCCAAAGACACAAAGCCCCCAAAAGGATAGCATGGGTTGTAGCAGTTGTCTGGGCATGAATACCCCTGCCAAGTAATGGGTGAAGCGTACTTCCAAAGGACACTTGGAGGTGGTAGGGGCAAGGACATAGCTGGCACACTTCTATGGGCACGCATGCTTATAAAGTAGAGAGGCACCCATAAGGTCCCTGAGGCACCATGGCC